TTTCCCTCAAGGGACAATAAATCTTATCTTATACTTAAAATTCATAAAAGGGGGGCAGAACTGACCCAGAAAACTATCAGAAATCAGTCAGGTCATGAGACCATAAGAACAAAACTAGAAGATTCACACAATACTGGGTAGTTTAAGTAACAGACAACGTTATTTAAAAAAGAAAAGTCTAGCTTAGCAATAAAGCATATAGCATTAGATATTTATATTGCCACAGATTTTGATAAAGATCATTATGAAAGCTTAACTCTCAAATTAAAAGGTGCTGAAACCTAAGCTAATATGTTAACATAACTGGTTAGTGAACAGAAACCGATGAGCTACTGTATCTGAAGGGTCGAGACCTCTAAGTGGAGTACTGCAGGGATCCATCTTAAACCCACAGTTCTTTGTGGTCAAAATTAACTATTTAGATTCTGGTATAGTTAACAATCCAGTTAAATTTTCAGATGGTTCAAAATATGGGAACTGACGTTTAAGCAGTTAAAATGAATTTAAAGACACTTGGCAAATGAAATGCAACAGTGACAAAGTGATCCATGCACGAAGTAGGAGCACATAACATTGGTAGCTCCAAGAAACTAGGCACAAAAGTGATCTGGGTGTGTATACCACTTCTTCTATGACCTCATCAAGATAAAGAGAGAGAATCATACAGAAGAATATTATCCAAAACATTTCCTTTATCGTTGTTAAATAAAATGAAACCATTTTTTGAATGCATTAGCATGCAAACCCAGAAAGAAAGAAGCTGAACGAAGAAAGCTGCACAAGTTCTTTTATGCAACACAATGAGAGGACTCTGTGTTCTAATTGGTTTGGCTTGTGTTGCGTGAAAGGTTATAGAAAGAGCACACCATGCTATCTGAAATGATAGGTCCAAAGAGAACCTGCCAAGAGGCGCACTGCCACTGATTCAGCGGGCAGCTTGGGAAATGCTTTTAGCTCAAGCTTGTAGTTGAAAGTGTACAATGAAGGAGAAGAAAAATGGGTTCTTAAAGTGCAAAAACCATTCAACAGTGTGCATATGAGATATGCTTCAAACTGGAGAACAGTGAATTACAGTATAGTCAGATAATTTTTATTAATTCTATTAATTGTATTCATAATGCTGCAACACAATAATTATTACATTATTAAAGTCACACCTTTTTCACACCTGAAGAGAAGTCTGCATAGCTGAAATTCTTCTGTTTTGACCAATGAAGTTGAATATATATATTCCTACAGTTTATCAGGATCAGAACGTCAGAATCCAGCTCCACTCTTTCAACAACACTTTCAATACACAGGAAGGCATGTCTGATCCACCTAGTCCCTGAATGTGCCAACTGAATGTGCCCACCCACATAAAGGAATGTCCGGTCTGAAGGGACTGGTAGAGGGTTCTGCCTCTCAATAGCTACATTACACAAGTATATACACAAAATTCCATGTTACATGGAACACTAAATAATCCAATTATTATCAAGTATCGTCCTTGAGGGATATCACTCCAAACCAATCGCATCTAAGGTCTATCTAAACCCTAGCAGGCACTTGCATTATGAGAAGTGTTCCTTAGTTTCAGTGTTTATTTTTGTCACATGGTTTCCCCTTAGGGTTACTTTTGGCTGATTCTGTTTCCCAGTTAAAAACACTGAAACTCTGGTAATTATAAAATTATGGTGAGCTACACTTCACTCGACACCTCAGACTCTGAGTGGTTTGCCACATTAGTGTCTCAAGGGCATAGTACAGACAACAAATCCCCAAGCCACTTTACCTCATTTCAGTCCGACAGTTTACCATTTCATATGTATAGATGGTTGCTTAATTACTTGCTACAGGTATGAGGTAGAGGGTGAATTCATGTATTTTGCTCATTTGGGACCTTCTGAAGACGCAGTGGTTGTCACGTGCTTGTTATAGTTGAGGTGGGTAAAATAAACATTAAAATATCACCCCAGAATCACACACATTATGTGACCAATGCACACTGTGTCTGCTATCTATGCCACGGTGCTGTCTATCAGACTAAAGGAAACAGATCAAGGTATTGAGCAGACTTATGCCACATATAACTTTCGAAGGTCCCCAAGCAACAAAATAATTAAAATGTATCCAAACTTTGAAGTTAAATTTATTCTACAGTCCATTTTGAACCTGGAGTTGCATTTAACTATTAAGTGGTTTGATGAAATTATACTGAGGGTTGTTTCATTTTTGGTCCACATTTTCTGATCCCAGGTTCTGATAAAGGCTCAACAAATTTGGGATGTGTGACTAACTCAGAGTGCAGAACAATTTGACCAGCGAAACCAGAAGATCAGGTTGACCTCCATTCATTTGCCATGACTCTTACAGCTGTCTTCCTTCCCAGCAGCATCTTTGCCCAGATGTGCTGTGATTCATTCCTTGTGTAATGTTGTTGTGCATAGCATACTGATATCTTGTAATAGTCAAGAAAAGGATAGTAACTCAAATTCTTTCTTATTTGACTTCTGAATGAGTGATAACACAAGGACTTAGTACCCTGCCAATTCGTAAGATCAGAAAAACGACTCAGGTTTGAGAAAGGCAATCATTTAATGTGTTGCTAAACTTTGATGAGTGGCGGCATCAGTAACGTTCTGACCAGCAAACCTAAAGTACAAAGTAACTCTGACATGTTATGTTTTAATAATGTATTTGTGTTATTTTTTCAGGTGTCAATAGTGTTGTGTACTTATTCATTAAGATAATTATATAAAAACATTGAAGGGAAGATTTTCTGAAATCTGCGTCTTACAGTTACAACACAATTTGCCATAGATGATGAGTTCAGCAAATTCAATACAATGAACACCATCATAATCAACGCAATCACTTAACATATATTAAAGCTATACAACAAATATATAATTCTTTAACATTTACTGTAAATTTTATGTTCCATTTTTTACTCTTAACTATAAGCACAAACGAGCACAGTCTGATTTACATGTTCTATCTCTGTAGTGGAATGAAACATCACACATCGCTACTGTGTCTTCTACATTCTTCATCCATCCATCTGTCCTGTACTGACTCATGGACACAATGCTCCAACAAATCCAATTAGGCTAATAAGGTATGACTGAGAAACAGAATTGCCTGATCTGATGATCTGATGTTGAATGGAGTGTGATTATGGTAAGCTAGCAGTGATTTACCACTCTTCCAAGGCCATGATCCAGTATTTTTCATGGCCAAATGGACCCATTTTAGACTTTTTCACAAACCTTCCTCAGCACATGGATTTGATTTGATATGGGGCTGAGATGTGCCAAGTGTCAAATGTCATTTTTCTTCAAAAACCTCTGGAACTCACCATCTTTAATCTCTAACAGAACTGTTCAGGATTTCCGGGTCTGGGTAGCAGACTGCTTAACATATCAATTGTATGAGCAGATGTATTGATTTCATGAAGAACACCTCCGGACATTTGGAAGAAGCATTGACCAGCACCAAGAACACTGTCCATATGAACAAGCTGACTTGGATACCTTGCCATTGTGCAGTTCCAGTTGCAGGTGAATAAGAACGACTCTGGGCTCAATTTTCCCATCAATTCCTGGCCTTTACAAAAAACAATCTTCCTGCACTCTTGGTTGTGAGTAAACGGAGACAATAATCATGATACAACCAGAGCACAGAATTCGTTCATTTTGGCACAGCCTTTAATGCAAGGAGTCACCAGTCAATAAAACTGCATCTGTCTACTCACCAATATTGTCATTCATATGTATATTCTCGTGTTTACAAACATTCCAATTAGTCATGATCAAGCTATTAAATTGAAGCACTAAAAATACAAAATATTGACAGTGCCAAAAAAAAAGCATGACACAAAAAAATAGGAATTAACCAGTGACAACTGAATTATTCTTGCAGAGCATGTGTGTATTTCATTTAAAATCTTCAAAAATCTATGATGATTCCCCAGGCAATGGGAATCTGCTTTTAAAGTGATGATCAGTGTAAACGTCATGTAGTTGCTAGAGATGTTTTATAATCACATCAGTGCTAAGTGTTGCCGTAAAGGCTGCTCCCAAGTGGCTCAGCGAGTTGAGGCACTACATGACATCATCAGCATCGGTCTGAACCACGTCGCTAACTTACAGCAGTCAATATTCTGCAAGCAGTAATGCACATTCAGCTGAGGATTGAGAATAATCCAGCAGATCTGGGCATTCAGGCAAACATCACCTCCCGTGGGCCCACAGTGATGTGAGAGAGAGCCAAACTCTGCCTCCTACTGGTGTTAATCATCCCACAAGGCTGCACAGAGCTTGTAGCCTCAAACTCAAGGGCAGTGTGTCTGAATTCTCATTCTCTCCAGAGTTGCAACTGATAAATCAAGCCATACAACTGCTGATTCCAAATTGGCCAAATATAAAAATAACCAATAGAAAATACTAGCATAGGGATAAATATGAATTTCTTTAATTCTTAAATCATAACTGAGTTTTGTTCCACAGGATTCATATTTTCCATCTTGTTACTCAAAATAATGTACTACTCAGATTTCTGAACATTCATCTAGTTATTCCAAGAAGCACAGTGTGTCCAGGGCTTATTATCTAATTAAATGAGAAAACTCAAGACAACGGAAATCTAAAGGAATATGTACGTTTCATCCTATTGACGAAGAACATTAACACATAATTGCATTACAGATAACAAAAGTATGTGATGTTTTGTCTGACAGAATAACTTAGCGTTGCTGCCTTGTAGCACTGGGGCCCTGTGTTCAGTTCTGGACTTGGGGTGCTGTCTGTGTGGAGACAGTAGAATTTGTTCTCCCCGTGTTATCTGGCTTCTCGGAGAATTGGCCCTGGTGTGAGTGTGTGTGTGTCTGTCTGTGTGTGTGCCCTGTGATGGACTGGTGTTCTGTCCAGGGTGTATTCCGCCTTGTGCCCACTGCTTGCTGGGACAGACTCTGGCTCCCTGCAACCCTGTGCTGGATGAAATGGTTAGAAAATGAACAGAAACCATAACTACTGACGTGTTGTCATAATCATCTTATTTAATGAAAATGAAAATATTTCCATTCTTTCCACAGGAGCTTATAAATTTTTTTAAAGCAGAGAATTTGGTAAATGATACTTTGTCATTTATGCAAACTGAAAACGTGACACGGTAGTGAAAAAAACATCCATTTTAAAACTGTTACTGTATTTATGCGAGACACAACAGAAAAGAAACGGTCTGACATTCTCCTCCAGATTTTGCCGATACAGTGCCGAATGCATGATTCCATCAATGGTGTACAGGCCATCTGGGTCCTGAAGCAGCAAAGCAGCCACAAACCACCATACTTCTCCCATCGTCATACTTGACATCTGCGATGAGGTTCTTTTGTTGGAATGCGGTGTTTGGTCTTCTCCACACAAACGTTTCTCCCATCAGAGTCAAAACGTTCAGTTTTGTCCATCCATAGATTGTTCTTTCCATCGTCTTGTTGATTATCCAGCTGCTCTTCCCAGAATGTTGAATGTTCTATTTAGAGAGCAATGTTGTTGTTTTTTTACTGGCAGTCCTCACATGAAAAACTATTCCCATTCAGTCTTTTCCCAATGGTTGGGGCACACACTGACATTAACTGCAGCAAGTGGGACTTACAGATCTCTAGGTGTTACTCTGAGGTTTTTTGTGACTTCCTGGATGAGTTTCAAGTTTACTTCTGGGGAGATCTTAGCAGAACCACCAGTCCTTGTTGAGATCATTGTGGTCTTCAATATTTACCATGTGTAGATCTGTTTGACAAGATGAATGTAGCCCCCAATGTTCAGAAATGGTGACATTTGCATTTGGTTTTCCAGACTGATAAGCATCAACTATTCTTTTTCTGAGGTCCTCTGAAGACTCTTTTAACCGTGGTATGATGTGTTTTCACTAACCTGTAAGGTGAAGACCAAACTCACAAAGTTTCTAACCATTATATAGGATAGGGCTACCCAAGCTCAGTGCTTGTTTACTATTCAATTACTTCTGATTCTAAATACCCTATAATTGTGCTAATTAAATTAGAGGTTCAGTACATCAACTGATTCATAATTATTCATTTTTCTTGTTTATACACCATTTTGACCAAAAAACATGTAATAGGTCAATATAAACCCTTTTGTTTATTCAAGAAAAGACAATTTTTATAGTCTTTTTATAGTCTGGGCAACCAGGTAAGACATTCTATTCCATAATTATATTGAAGATTCACAAACTTTATCACAACTGTGTACATAATACATTCATCCACCCTTACAATTGAGGCAGTTTTGGAAAGACTGTTTGATGTCTTTGATGCAAAGAGTTTATTGTCCTGTTACTGGGGATCTTGTGGTTTTCAGTCTTACCAAGTTTTGAACTACCCAACTTGATCAATTATTTACCCATGTAAATGTCACTAAAGGCTTTTATACTAATTTTGTGAAATTTAGTCAAAATCAGTATCACTTTTTTCCCCAGTCCAAATTCTGTCACCAATAATAACAAAGATGAACTTGTGCTATTTCTACATCTTAACAAAATGATCTCAGAAGCTGAACATGATCCTTGACTCATCTTGACCACAAAACCACACTAATTATTCCAGTGTCTTTATTACAAATCTAATTACGAAGTCAAGTGACATGAGAATGATTTCCTTACATTCCTTCAGACATGGACATCCTTCAACTTTGAAAAATCCCATTTCAAGCAGTATTGTACTTTGCAATCATACATAGAATTACCCTATTTACCATTAGTCTGTCGTGGCAGCAAGTGGTTTATCTCTATAGGCAAATCAACAGTTCCTTTAAATCAAGTCCCCAAGTACAGTTATGAAGTGTTTAGTTGTGTGGTTGTAAGCGTTCTGCTTTGGAACATCTCAAAGTGTTCTGCTTTGGCCCTCTATTGTTTGCTTGTGCTTTGACATTGTATTGTTGAAAAAGCAAAGGAAATGGAATATATCAAATCTTTTATGCTCAATCGAGGAATTTCAATGCATGTTAAACCCTGCTGATTTATTCTCTATTGTCAGTGGATTGTGTTTAAAATCATTCTGATAACAGTTTGGAACATTTTGCAAATGAAGCTGATGGCTATGAGCCATAATATAAATAACCTAGTCACACCTGCTGAGGTTCAGTGGGTTACTGGTTGTGAATTGCAGAGTGATACAGCTGCTGGCAAAATTAATATACTGCTTCCTTACTTAATATGTAAGATAAAGCTTAATGCTTACTGACAATTAACAATTTTGCATGGCACACATCAGTGATGTACAGTATACTGTATATACCTGTATATGAGGACTTTGATCCCTAAGAAAATTAATATCAATAAACGTTTTTGAAATTCACAACATTCACTCATTCAACATTTTGTCATTTTATTTGCGATAATATGAATGAGATTATATGAGATCACCCACCCTTTGTCTCACAAATGCCAAGAACTTCTCCTGCACTACACTGCTGTGTAGTACCTGTAATGGAATTGTCTGCATTATCCATCCCTGAAACATATATATACACAATAAACAGAAATAAATACAGTGTCCTTTGCTTTTCTCCAACACAAAATAACAACAACAAAAAACATTCAAAGCAGTACAGGGTTAAATACATTTAAAATAAATTCAAAATAAACAAGAATGTGTTTTAAAATGGAAATGTTGCAAAAAAGAAAAGCTTTAAATTAGGGATGCACAGTGGTAGCTGTCGAGCTCTTGTGATTTTGTTTTACTACTTTTTCTTTTTGGGGAATTGAGATTGTGATAAGAGGGATCTTTGGTTTTAAAATGCCTGAAGTTTGCATGAGGAATAACCAGAGCAGCAGGAAAGGGTGGTCCTATGCTGCCCAGAGTGACAAAAAAAAGTTATAAACCAGGAGGTTAGTGCATGTACCACTGCTTGCTTCACAGTGAGATGTTAAATATGAATAAGATTTAAATCATAAAGTAGGCATAATCTAAAAATGTTTAAAAAATGTTACCAATATCTGATGAGGAATACACCCGTAGGTTTGGTCTCCAGCCAAGATGTAATTCAAAGATGTCCTCACAAAGTCCTCCGCAGTCTTGGTTATTATGTTAGGCCTCTGGTGTTGAGTCATTGGAGTAGAGACCCCATAGGGAGTGACAGACTGGAAAGGCAAATAGAAATGTGAGCAAAACTGTTTCCAGTGGTGTAACTGAGTAATACATTTTAAGTGATTTTTTTGCTTCATTGTAAAAGAGGAAAGTAAATATTGTGCAACATTCCTTTTCATTTTGGACATAAAACAGCTTTTAAGCATTGCTTAGTCATGATTTTTAAATTGCGTGTAATGACAATTTTGATTCAGTGGAAAGCCTTGAAAAAGTCTTAGACAATAGAAAACACAGGCAAAAAAAGTATAACATTGCTAAACTGAGCACGTAAGTATGACAAATTTAACATGCATCATGTCTTACATCAAGCTTAAGAATGTTTCTAAAAGCAATACTAAGAAATGGAACAAATAAAACATTTGGCACCCAGATCTCTTTTGTAGCTGATGTGAAAACTGATGTACTGTAAAATTTACAAGGTGTATTTGCATAATTATTGTTACCTGAATGATAATTCCTTTTGATTTATATTCGGCTTGAAGCCCTCTTGAGAATCTTTCAACAAACACCTAGTCATTTACAAGATGAAATACAACACTTAGACAATGTAGCAAATTCACCTTATCTTCTGATAACATGATGCTAGTTATCTCCTTGTACCTTTAATATCTTAGAAACTGCCAAAGTTGAAATGCTTTTATCTTAGATTAATATTAGTGGAGTGTCAAACTTAAGTGATGTTCAAATAAGACATTCTTTCTGGTCTTCTTTCATATAAAAGTCTAACTACTATATACCGTCATGCATGAAGTATTGAATTACTCTTCCTTTAAGTTAGAGAAATGTAACATTTCTTTTAACCATGCACATACACTGATTAAAAAGAGAATGTCCTAATAAAACAGAAAATAATTTGAAAGAAGGCTTTTTAAAAATAAAATAACATTCACAGTTGATCACAAATGTCAGTCTGCCTTCTACTGGTGTATATGGTAATTGGTTATGTCCCAAACATTCCTTTTTATATAATTGCTACTGATCCCATACTCTTTTTTTCACACCAAAAATCAAACTTTGTTATTTAAAATTCAATAAATACACTTGTATACTTTAGAACTTAAAGGCTTGAATCTTTTTAGTTTTGAACAGACGACAGGGCCTGGTACAAATACTCAAAGTCCTCAAAAGCACTGATAAAGGCAACACAGTGGGCTTCTTCAGCATCAACAGTGAAACAAGACACAAGTGGAAACTATGTGGAAGTGCACAGAAAATCAAGAACAGCAGGCACTTCTTTATGCAAAGGGTTGTGGGAGGCTAGAACATGCTACCCAGCCATGTCGTTAAAGCTGATACCCTGGCTTCCTTCAAGAAACTAATTGCATGAGTTCATTGGATCAGTACTACTCACTACCAAATGAACCAGTAGTGCTGAATCATCTCCTCTTGTTTGTGGCTTTCCATTTGTTCTTACTGGGGCAGGCTATCCCATGGAAGGGCTGTTATTTTCATGGGCCTGCCACTAGAGATCGCTAAATAAGATCCTGAAAACTACTGATACAGTTCACTTGAGAGTAATACAATTAGTTACAATTAGACTAATTATAAGGCACATTCTCACATTGGTTAGTTAGTGGGTTCGTTTGTGTACAGGATTGGTGTAGGGAGACTGGGTACTTTGGTTTGCGTTGGTATTGAAAGACCGTCTTGTGAGGCTTTCAATATAAGGACGATTTTTTGGTATATAGAAAAAAGTGTGAACAAAAGCCTGGACATCTGGTTTACACTGCTGAAGTAGCAGATCTCTGAGCAACATTACCCAATATGATAATCTCTGAAAAAACATTAAAAATTAATGATGTAATACAAACCTTTGATGCTGAATATATGGTGTACAGTGGACAGGGAAATTTTGCCAGACCCGATGACAAGTTTAGAATTAGTCCCTTTTGCCTAAAAGTTAAAAAAAAAAGATATCCTGTTATATATATATATGTCTGTTACAAAAATATTTTGCAACGTCAAAATTATGTAAATGAAAACCTCATAATTTACAAATGATTTAAATGAGAATTAAGATCTTATTTCACAGACTTAAAATTTCCAAATCATGCACTTTAAGGTAGGATACAGAGAAAAGGCATTCTTCAGTACTAATTACCGTAGTACTTAGTACTTAAAAACTAATTTACCAATTCACAGTGGGCCATATTTTTACTGTTGCTTGTGATAGACCATTACTAAATTTAAACTGACTGCTGAAAAAATAGATTCTTTCAGTATGTATAGCCTTTGACCTCTCCTGCATATATTACAAAGAATCTTTTCCTTTTCGCATGAGACATGATCACACATTGCCTCAAAACCAGATAGGATGTCTATTAAAAAAATTAAGTACAATAAAAATTAATATTCTAGTTATCATTTGTCAATTTTCAGCATAATGACAACAAATCCAGTTCTATAATATGTGAGGAATACTTCTAGTTTTATTCACATTCATCAATAATCTCCTCATTAGGGATAACACTCAGTTAAAAAACTTAGTGTAACGGTACCTTTTTTAATAGAAGCTATCCTTCAATGTCTTCTTTGCATTTACTATGTTGAACTGGGAAACATTTCACATGTCACTGAGAGAAGAGACCATCATGGGCCTTATCTCATTATCAAGATGCTTTGGAGAGGAACCTACCTCTTTTCCATTCCTGGCAAGACTATCTTGGACATCTGTTTAAGAGAATTGAAAATGTTTTTTTAATTTATGGCCCTATTTTCAAACTGCAATTGAGCACATTTAAAATACAATGAAGCACTTTCTTAAAAGATAGTTGTGCAACACAGAATGAAAACAAAAACATTAGTTGCTATATATTCAGCTGTTATAAAGACTGGTTTTTCCTGATATTAAGCATTGTATGACTTCAGCTCAGATAAAATCTGAATATTATTTACCCTATGTCATATATGGAAACTGAACAGAGAATAATTCATACACTATAACATTTGTTTCATTACTTATCCACCGAAACTTACTTATCCTTTGAAATCCAGATTCTAGCAACTAAAATGTTTCTTCCAGGCACTTACCTTAACTAAAGACTTCACGTTGCAGTTAATGAGATTTGATATAACCTAAAACACAACATGAAAATAAATCTCGCTTTCATTATTCATGTTTTAAAGACTTTCTGCTCATGCATAATTTGAACACCTGACTATATATATAGTAAAAGGATTTTAAACTGATAGAGCATTTAAAAATATGAACACGATTGTTTTTACACATGAAACAAATCACTTTCTTGTGTATATAAGATCACAATTTAATACATACAGGTAAACCTAAATGCAAGGAAATTAATTTAGCTAGCTTTAAATATAAGATGCTTGTAGGTTTTATGATCTGCTGCTTACAAGGCAAGTACTGTACATTATGTGATTCATGAATGAATTAACAACTTTCATTGAAAACTGCAGATAGGAAGCATCAATGCTATACTGGAAATAGATACAATATCTGAAATATGAGACAAAATAAAAAATAAAGCCATACTACAGAAGGTGAAAGGTATTAAAAATGAACATATGCACAATGTTTTACATACCCACAGAAATTATGAATGCATGTGTTGAATATTCAGCAGAAGCATGCATTCAACTTTTCATTTAATTCTGGATCCATGTTTCCGACGTGCCCTTTAAAACCAGTTTTATTAACCCCTTTACCCTTTGAAGGGCTTAACAGGTGGGTTCTAGCAGTCCGCATAGATCTTTGCTTAATGTTTTTTTTACTAGTACAATTTCCAACCAGGAGTTATGAGACACACTGATCTATCACAAGTCCAACAATGAAATGCCAATAATTTGGGGCTTACACTTTATAACTTTATATTTGCCTTTATATGCTGCCTTATATTACATCCCTTTACATACAGGAAAGGTCCCTACTTAATCCATCACTGATCTGGGACCTCACCTATATCCTGTATATTCATCCATCCGAGTGACGTGCAGTAGACATACATTCACAGCCTGACTACACAGCATATAGGGTGGAACAGACAGTGAGAAATGGCCTCTCCAATTGATTTAAACAGTTACTTTAGGTGAGCTGAATGGCTGAAGGCCAGATTGAAATATACCCAGAATGCCAGTGTTCACACCCTTTGAAATGGCAATATGGGACCTTCTAATGGGCAAGGAGCCAGGATCCTGGTTTCATGTTTCATCCACAGGGACCAGCTTCAGCACAGCATCCCTGATGTCCTGTATGTCATACTGGGGCACAGATTTCAGATTTGGGAAATCTGCGTCAGAAGGAAGATCTCCATCTACTAGTACACCTACCTAGATTTAGTCTAAAGTCTGATGATCAGTAGATATCCAGTAAATAAGGGGCTCTGAAGCCAAACACTACACAACAATACATTTCACAGTAATGCGTGGTTTAGCATTTACAGTAATACAGCCAACTGCAAGAAGAATCAATCACTTATCGCAGTGTCCGTGCTGTCTATATTTCATTTCTTCACATCGACTATTACAGTGTATTTCTGCTGTAATCACCTCCTGTAGATGCCCGTCTTCCCTTTTGGTCACGTAGAAAAAGACAAACCAATATCATGTAAATTAAATCTTACCCTATCCGTGTCATCAGTGTCAAGAAACCGGCAAGGTATTTTGCTGCTTAGTATCCCCACATTGTTCACTAAGAGAAAAGATAAAAAAAAAAGAACAAATGTTTCAAATACAACATTTCACATTTTGAAAGAAAAAAGCAAAAAAATGTTATTGATATGCTAAATAAATCATGAACATTTGGATTTTAGCTCTAAACTATTTTATATTATATACGTGATTGATGTCTGCTAAGCATGAGAGATGAGGAATAGATTTTTAAAAAATTTTAGAATAAATGTTGCTCTGTGTGGGTTTAATAAACTCATGTTGACCCACTCCGGATACTTTCTTGTACAATGATCTTGCTGTTCACTAGAAATTCAAAACAGTTCACTTGAGTCTTTCGTGCTTGTGTTGGCTAGTTCCCTTTCATTAAAAACACAAAATATTTACACTTGCCAAGCCATGTTCACAGATAATGTACTGACACAGAGAGAACTAGCTAAATGGAACAGACAAAATGCCAAAACATCTTGTAAATGTTCTTCAGCTCAGGCCACAACACCATTCCATGAACCAGTGGAAATGTACATCATGATTTAAAATTACTAATGTAATGTAATGTTGCTTATAAAAGCCAACATACCCAAAACACCGACATTTAACTCTTTAATACTTTCTGCTATGTGTTCATAGATGTCCTCTTTCGTAAAGTCTGCCACAATTACTTTCACTCTTTGTCCTGTTGTCTCCTCTGAAAAACAAGGACAATTATTATCATAAATCCATCTAAAAAAAACACATTTGGTTTCATTTCTGTAGTAGATTTCCTGTTAAACACATACTCCTCCTGCCAAAAAGATATTACATATATAATTTGTTTCCTTGCTTCATTTTTGAAGGATAACCCTAACTTGAACTGCATTTCAAACAACAAATCTCCAGTACCTAGAGCCCCAACAGGCTTTAAAGCTTTGTTCCTGCTCTGGTTGACAGAAATGAAGAATGTAGACCAAGAAAACTGAATTTATCCCATCACACTGATGTCTCTAAGGAGGTACACAAGGTGAATATAGTTTTTAAAATTAGTTATGCATACAGTTAGTTATGCAATGTTAACTTCTAACTTCTAAGTTAACATTGTGTTGCAGAATTTGTTTGAGAACTTGCAAAATGAGTTAACTTAGAATAAAAAAAGCTTAATTTTAATAATTAGAGTAGCAAACACCCTTTCATAGTGAAAAATGAGTTATCCTGGCAGGTTTGAATCAGACGAGCACTGTTACATGACAGAAGGGGGAAATGAAATGTAAGTAATGGCATTTAATTTTTCTTTTAAGAGGCTATAATATTTCTAAGGCCCTGTGTATGCTTGTCCACCAAATATCTCCCTTCCAGGTTACCAGACAGGTTCTTCATAGCCAATTCCTAATCTTTTGCTGCCCAGCACCCAAACCATAGTGCTACAGATGACTTAATTCTACACCCTGATGGGGATTTAAAGACAACAACTGTAACTTCACTTATGGGAGCTCAGCCATTAACTGAGTACAGACCAAAGAATATTAATAAATGCACAGTTGTGGAACATTTTTTCCATGAAGGCAGATTATGTTCCAGTTTTAAAAAATGCTCAATTTTAGCAATGTAAGAAATAAGGGACATTATTAAATTAAGGCTCAGTATTTCATGAAATGTTATTCTACATTATTCCAACATTACTGATTTTCTTCCAAAAGATTTAGTGTGCTTTAGAAATCCTGCAACAAATCTCATAGCAGACCAGACTTCCATAGTATTTACACAGTGTTACAATTATATTTTACATTAACAGTTTAATAAATTAATGTATCAGCAACTGTTTATTAATCCCAGTGTTAACTGGTGGTATTTTTACATAACAAAAAGGAACAGTCCTCTTTCTCATACATTCTTTAATATTATTACTTACCTATTTCCTTGGCAACTTTCTTCAATTTATCTTCAGTTCTGCTGATGATAACAATATTCATTCCATGTTTTGCTAGCTGTGACAGAAACAACATTTCTAATCATGTGAAAAGAACAATTCTGCGAGACACCATTATATCTGGTCATCTTCAGTAAAAAAAAGGTTTCCCCATCTATTTTGATAAATAATTTTTATTTAATGAATTTGTGAGTAACACATGGTCAAAAGACAAAATTTAATCTGATTTCTCGACAACTGAGTGCCCAACACAAACCACTGGTGATATTCTCCTTAAGCTGACAACTGCACAACCGTGCTATTGTGCTCACTGTATCAGCAGCTATTGTATATCACCCTGCAACACACAACTAGCAATGTACTGAAGCTCAGTAAGGGTGAGCCTGATCAGTATGTGGATGGGAGACCTGGGAAAAACTAATGTTGCTGCTAGAAGAGGTGTTAGTGTGACCAATATTATTATTATTATTAATAGGAGGTGCTTACCCTGCCATCTGTGAGGTACAGTTACAATGTGGCACTGAGTATAACATTCGAAGCTCACAAGAACTATAATCTCTCTTTATCTATCTATCTACCTCTCTCTCTCAACCATGAGATTAAATAGAACAAGAGTAAGTGAAGGAATGATGTAATATTTATCAATGTTATCTCAGTGAACGATTTATTTGTATAATTAATTCAATTTAATTTGTTTTGCAAAAAGAAAACACCTTGAAGCTTGATGTGGGCAGGTTTTTTCCTGTCTTGGTCCTTTTGTGTGGAAAAATAAAGGAAGTACCTTTATTTTTTGCTTCCAGTTCATTTGTCATTATTAAACCCTGCATATGGGTTGTGTGTGCGTTGTGTTCACCATCATATGTATGAGAGGTTGGGTATAAACAGGTTCTATAATTAATCGGAAATGCTGGGGCCCATTCAGTGGCACATATATCTATAATATACCACATGTAATTAATACAATTACAATGTTAACACGGTAACATTGGGTTAAAACATTAATTAGTACATTGCCTATACATCAACTATGATTATTTTTTATACAAAGGAGAACCAAGACAGGCACAAAAACCCAAACATGCCCACAGCAAGCCTAGCCTCAATATAAAAACTGTTAAGAAACGAAAAATGACAATGAAAAAATTAAAATACAAAATGCAGAACAAAAAAATTAACTAAACTGAAACAAGTAATAAAAATAAATAAAAGAAATATAAACTCAATCAGGAGAGTCTCTGTAAGTGTTGACAGACCTGCCTCTTGATGGAAAGAAGGTTGTAGGAATCTGGAAACACAGAAGGAGGTGGAGAGTGGGGTGGAAGGGAAGAAGGAATATACTTAATCTACATTGTTCTTGTTGGCAGATGGTTGAGCACTGAACTTGTGTTTTTGGTTACATAATTAGACTTTTTGCTCTCTGCTAATCAACTTCCCCCACCCCTACCCCCAACCTCTTCTGTAGGGTGTTCCTTATTTTTCAAAGCTGGAGGTGGCAACCCTAGTGCAGGGGCACTAGGAATTATTATTAGTAAATGTAATGAGGCCCGATTAGGTAAGGTAGATCACAAGATTGGGGTGCCGCAGTGGTTAGGATTGCTGACTAGCAGCACTGGGGCCTACGTTTCCACCCACAGTCCAAAGTGTAACTTACAAACTGGTTTAAACGGTTTCTGGGAAAAGTGGCCCTGGAGTGAACGTGTGTTTGTCTCTCTGCCTATGTGTGCCCTGTGTTGGACTGGAGTCCTGTCCAGGGTGCAGCCTGCCTAGTGCCAGTTGTTTGCCGGGTTTGTCTGGCTCCCCCAAGGCCCTGAATAGAATAAAGCAGTAAGAAAATGGATGGATGGATCTGACCGTTGAAATGAATCGTCATTTCCAAAGATAAGCAATGGTAATACAGAATATTTTCAGAACCGCAAGTTCTGTGAGGGGAATGAAGAATACATGGATTGTGTGCTCATCTCTAAACTAGATTTTCTGAAAGTGGATAGAAGATGGAAAAACCACAAGATCCAGCAGCCAGCAACCTGTCCACTTGTTCATACATGGATACAGTTGTTTGTGGCAGGAGGTATCACTATCTAGGGCTGAGTATACATGCTGAAGGAAAAGTTTTCAGAAAGCCCCTCCCACTTACCACCTCTGGCCCCTATTTATCTTTCTCAATGATACACAATGAAAGACACCAAGTAAATCTGTAGTTTTTAACATGTTTGTTGTGGTTTAGAATGGTAATGAAACTTGACAAGATCTTTACTTTTTGACTCAACAATCAGTTTGTACAAGGACATTCGTAAAAGGAAAGGGAACTAAATCTCACATAAGCATGGGTGGAATGGAATGTTTTGCTTTAAATCTTAAAGATTAAGACACTATGACGGTGGTTTGTATGTTCACCCTGTGTTCTTGTGGGTTTCCTCCAGGCACTCTGGTTTCCTTCATGAAATACAGGACTGGTAGGTTAATTGGCTCCTGGGAAAATTGGCCCTGGTGTGAGTGTGTGTGTCTGTGTGTGCCCTGTGATGGACTGGCGTCCTGTCCAGGATGTATCCTACCTAGTGCCCATTTTTCACCGAGATAGGCTCTGGCATCCCTGCGACCCTCAATCGGAAGAATTAATTCATCTATGAATTGGCTTCATTAGTTTGTTCTCCTCCCCAGTGATAGCTGATGTGTGGTGAGCGTTCTGGCGCACTATGGCTGCCGTCGCATCATGCAGGTGGATGCTGCACATTGGTGGTAGTGGAGGGGAGTCCCCATTACCTGTAAAGCATTTTGAGTGGAGTGTCCAGAAAAGCGCTATATAAGTGTAAGCAATTATTATTATTATTAGTAGCAGTAGTAAGAAAATGGATACATGGATTTTAACATTGAAATGAATACCTTTCTTCACTTCCGGAGGTAAGCAACTGTAATCCAGAATATTTCCAGAACCATACTGTCTGTTAGAGGCATGAAGAATACATGAATTGGGTGCTCATCTCTAAACTGGGTAATTTTCAAATCTTGCAGTCTTACCTCTGTTGCGTAGGCTCTTCCAATTCCATCAGACCCACCTGTGACAACTAAGGAACAAAAGAACCTTTAATTTCGATCAGAACACAACACGTCCCAAGATAAAATATAATCAATATATATTATATATGATATATAATCATATATATATGACATCACACATCAATATATGATAACATCAGCATCATGCACATCAAATCACTGGGCTATCACTTGTGCTCTCTCAATGGGGGCACTGATATCCTGGAAGACTCTCCTCCTGGCAGGAAAGAAATTCTGTTACATGGATTAGTACTGACTTTGCCTTCTAGGGGAGCAAGTGCATACAATTCATGCCAGGAAATGTACCCCACAACATTACTGAACCGCAAGGCTCCAACATTCAGGGCTACATAGTTCTTGAGGTTGATGCCACACATGCACTGGTCTGCTTACTGAAAACATGATCTCAATGCTCCACTGCTCCAAAGTCTATTGCCTGTGCTGTTTGCACCACTGGACTCATAAATGTGCACTGCCAGGTGTGGTGAGAACTCTACAACCCACCTCTGCTCTGAAAAGTTCTCAATGGACAATTTTTGATCATATGGGGTGCTTGTGCTCCAAGATGAAATATGCAGTTATTTGATCTGCAGTCACTTCCCTGTTTTGCCTTTGACTTCAAGTTAATGCACAAATGTGATGGTCCTTATGTACGTGCTTCCACCCACTGTTCTCCGAAGGTGATGAGGATGATGATGATTTCCTTCCTTCCGAGTTTAATGTTGACCTCAGATAGCGTTGCGTGTGAAACATCACCAAGCTGCCAAACACCCCCTTGTCAAAGTCACTGTGATTTCCTCTTGCAGCTATGCCAGCAATACTTATAGGCAACCTAGCCTGTCCAGCATTTTGTATTTATGACCCTTAGCATGCTGGGATGTTATTTGCTTAATTCACACATCAGCCACACCCTTGCTTTCAATATACTTGATGTCCCTCTTTTTTTCTCTTTTTATTCTTCTCCATCTTCATTGTTTTATTTCTTATTTCTATTTGTGCCAAAACGTATAGAATCTAGATTGTGCCAGTCAAATAAAAAAAGAGATGATTAGTGAACTGCATATTTCACATAGCAGTCCAGCACTGGTCAAAAAGATCCATTTCTACAAACAAAAATACAAAGCTTGTTTAGGTAATGGAATTAAAAACATACTTGTGCATTTTATCTGAGAAAAATGTTTGGAGGCAATGTAGGAGAGCCAGATTAAGGGAAAAGAACATCCAGTTCCGTTTTTAAAGAGCACAATTTAGAAACCAAGATATTACTCTCATTTCCTCTTCTTTCTAAGCACAGCTTGTAAAATAATTAGAGCTATTGAGCTGAAGCTGTTACCATAAAAATGCAAAAGTAAGAATTTAATCAAATGCATGCAAATTGGAACAATAATACATTTACTGGAACTGATAACATTTATATATATATATACTATATATACTATATATTTAATCAATTTCCCTATGGGATTAATAAAGTCTTATCTATCTATCTATGTCTTTTATGCTGTTCATATACTGGTAATGTATAAGAGCTCCCCTACGTCTGGTCATTAAAGGAAACAGCACAGTGGGTTATGTAAGCCTCATTAGTCATAAACAGCACAAAAGCTCTGAAAGAGGGTGATATTAGCCATGTTAGAGCTTAATTTGATCACTTAACCCTCTTCGAAACATGGGAATCTGCTGATAATTTAAGACGAATACTGTATAAAACCTGCTGGAGTGTTTTTCTTGAAAGTCTAACTTGGGTCACTCTGAGAGATCCTCCAGTAGGTTACAGCACCTTGCCACTAACAGTAAGTAATGGAGATGTTGGACAGCAGGAGAGAGATATGACAGAAAATACTGAACTGAAAAGGGAGGCATAAGGGCATAAGTTGAAGAACTTCAAGTAGGTAAGAAGCTGTGTCAACATGAGAAGGTGGCAAAGGAACAGCTTCATTCCACGCTGAAAAGAAAAGAGATGCACAAAGTGACACAACTGAAGAAGGCTCCACAGCCAAAATGTTGCGTCTCTTTACTCTTCAGCATGGAATAAGCCTTTACCTGTTCAGAAGTACACAAGGACAAATTAACTTTGGGAACAAGCAATGTCTTTTTTAATTCATCAAAAAGAGTGACTGCCTAAAAGATAATAAATTGTACTTCATACAGCTCCTTTAAAACCAGTCAAAAACCATTTAAAATACATACATTCAGTAAGGAGCACATGACACATGATAAAACTGAAGAAAAATACAAAGCCAACTTTATGTTATATGACAAACTAGGTTTTCAGACTGGTTTAGACTTTTGCCGATTCTCTGATATCTTTTAGAGATGGTGTTCCAGACCTCTGGGGGCAAGTGAACTAAAAGCCTTTCAGTGGGAACATACTATAAACCAGAATCTGTAGAGTGAAGGTCACATACTGTACAAGGGAGTAAATGATTACATATCAGCTAGATACCGGGGAAATACCATGTAAAGCCTTGAATGGAAGTACAAGGTTTATGAAAACCAATCAAAACCTGACAGGAAGCCAGTGCAAGCACTCCAAAACTGTAGTGATGTGCTCACTTCATAATAATCTAGCTCAGGATTCTGGCTACCAATTTCTCAGCATATCATAAAGTGTTCAGTATATTTTTTGAGAGACTTCTGCAAATAAAACATTGCAAAATAAATTAATCTTTAAAAAAACATACGCACTAATATTTTTAGGTTACAGACAAAGGGCAACATAGACTTCAGCCTGGCAAAATTTCTCAGTTGGAAAAATTGAGTCTCTACAACAACTCTGCACTCATTTGAGATTCAAATCTCAATTCAGGATTGAAGTTCATTCCCAAATTTTTTATTTTGGAATCAAAACTCAAGTACTGTGCTCTCAATTAAACAAGCTTACAGCAATGGTTTTAAGTAACTGATATGAGGAACACAATAACATGAATTACCATAATTAAGAGCACTACAGGCAAAAACAAAAAATTGTCCTTACTACTAGGATCACTCAACATGTCTCAGAAAACTGCACACGGCGTGATAAACTACAGAGGACAGAGAGACTGCAAGAGTAGTAGGCTTCTCATCCACTCTGTTACTAATGCCCACTGTGGCCACACTTCCTAATAGTAACATTTTGGCTGATCTCAGCACATATTAGTACTTTGTATTCTTTACCATACTTTATGATATACAGAACTATTTAATTTCTTTGGTAGAAAATGTACTTTCATTACTCACACAAGTGGCGTATTCATTATGCTGGAAACACAAACAGAATGATTCATTGTAAGGGACAGCCACATGTGTTTAATAAGTGGGAGCACAGGCTTAAAAGGTAAATTGAGACAGCAGTACTTTCACTCCAAGACGGAGCAGTTAACAAAAATACACAGGAGGCCCGCAGAACCAGAGTTATTGGAGGAGTTAGAAGAAAGCGGGGAATTGCTTGCCAAGGGGGCAGTGATCCTCCACAGCCAAGAGAGAGTACCTCAACTTTCATGCCCCACATATTTGAATAACACGTACTGTACAATCATTTGTATAGGTTTTGTCTGCGACACCATTTTATCACTTGTAAAGAAGTTCCAAATATAAACTCTGAAACTCACACAGATTGCCGCTCTAACTCTCCACGTACATTCATTATTACCTTTATGCAAACATCATCGTTACACAGGCATACTCGCAAACTCACATTGATCACAATTCCTGTTTTGTCACGTCTTTTGTCATTTCATACTTACACGCAGAAAGGGACGTGCACTCAGATATTAACAGGCACAGAGAAATTACTTCGTATATTGTAATACTCAATGAGTTGTTTTGCTACCATTAATTCATAATTCGAGTTGGAAACACATTCTTAAAGTGTGTTACTATATTAAATAATGTGGTGCTGTTCGAAAGTTTTAGTCAATTTGCCTGGCCTCTGCAGGTTCTATGCTAAAACAATTCTGTACTTCCTGTCCTGTGTGAAATGAATTGGCACGCAAAGTGGACTTTTTAAGATTCTCCCGCCAGCTGATATAATTACGGTGTTTTTTTTTTTTTTTTTTGCAAGGCACGTACCTTCATACTTAAACAGTGACTGACTCCGTTTCCAGTGTGAAACCACTAGGCACCTCATAACGAGCATACTGCTTTAAATTTAACACCACCAAAAGCCACTAATCCCCAGCGTTTGGGTCACATTTCAGTCCTGCAGTTTGTCAGTTGATATATGATTCCGCATTGATCTTCGTCCGTCATTAAATCAGAAGTCTCGGTTTTAGTGTCTGGTGTATAATATTCATAATTACATTAACTTTAATATTAATATCAACAATAAAACTACATCCAACACCCCCAGGGGACACTGTGTTTTCGAAATTGGGGAGTAATGAAGAAGCGATGGCTTTTAAAAACAGGAGTAATGTGAGTGTAAAACGAACACCTGAAACACAGAACACTCGGTGCTACGCACGTAACAGTCCAGTTTAGAGTTTCAGTGTTATTAAACGTAATATGAGACCTGCCAAATCCCGCATTTTAAGTCTACTTAAAACCAGGCTCCACACAGCAGGTAACAGCTAACTCGCTGTGACTGCCCAAACGTAGTACTCTAGGACTGTGAACATCTTTTTTATCATGGTTTTAATGTAGAATTTTGCATTAATTCCTATTTTATTCCATCACGGGTGTACCAGTGCAATCCTTCAACATTGGACTTTTCGAAACAAATATATACAAGGTATTATTATTGTTTTGTTTTTGTTCAGCCTTGAACGTATCATCGACATTAATTCTAAATGAACTGGATGCTCCTAACATATGTTGTCTGTTTCGAATTTGTTCTTATGCCAGTGTCCTTTAACACTAAAACACCGATCTGGAGATGATTTATTATGGTCTGTGAATTATTATATTTTCCACGCGTTTGTTTTTTGTAGAACTCAGAAGATAAAATATTTAAATATCCACCATGCGATAAAAATAAAAAAACTCATTCTATTACTTTAAAGAACCAATATGCATATAACTTACAATGTTAAACTTGCTAGCATTGGTATTTGCTTTAATGAAATGTAGTCTAAATTCTTAATTAAAAATGCATATTTTACATAAGGAATAACATGGCTAATTAATGAATACGGTGTTTTATAATTTAACAGATTTAGCAAGAAAAATCTTTGGAATAAAAACTTCAAAACATATACATTATTAATCGCATTTCAAGTCACTGAGTGCAACGGTTGTTTTTCACAACTCCGCTGTAAAGAGTTCTCCGTGCATCAAAAACCAAATACATCTCCGATGTTCAAATAGCACACAGACTGTAGCTTTCCACGCAAATCTTTCCTTCAAGTACGACCGAAATCCTCAACAGACACCCTAAAACATTCGCAGCATTACCGAAATGCCACACACACACCTTCGACAAAAATGTTCCAATACCAGAAACGGGTGTTAAAGTGCCACGTCAAAAAAAATCACAGATATTCAACAAGCGCCTAAATAGTATTGCAATTCCAAAGCCTCGAGCTAATGAAACTAAGATGTTTTGGCAGTGACATCTATTTCTGTTTCTTTAAAAGTTTTAAAGAAAGCCAGCATGCATGGGTCTAAGCACCTAGAAATCCTAAACGACCCGCGCATCCCGGTTTTAAAAGAGTGTAAAGACCTGTGCCGTAAATACTTGTTTTTGAAACTCAAGAAACTTCAGTTTTTACTATACATATTATTGACTTACTAGCTAAGGTGAATGAGAGTTGAAGAACCTTTAATTTTTAAAGAAAGTACAGTTTAACAGTATTTTATTGCTAATGCTTAAACATGGAATTTCTATACACAAGTAAAAATCATGCACGTACTGTATTTACATATAATAATACATAAAACAGCTTTATCGTTTAATCTGGTCACTCTTGATAACTCATTTTAGAATTTTATTGCGCAAAGAACTAATCTCAGGGTTAAAGAACTTACTTCATTTTTCTCTCATCGAGGTGAAATCCCTCAGTTTTTTTTTTTATTACGTTAATGAAATATTACAGTTACAGCAAACCATTTTTGCAGATCGCGGTTTTAACTGAACCCTTTTCCACCACCAGGTCCACTAGGACGACGTGCTCCTAAATGTGGAAAAATGATTTATTTGATAAATGACATTGATATAGAAGAACTCACCAGCCCACTCCCCAAGCGAGGTGAAAAAAGACTGAGGCAAGGGGTACCAGGTCTTGGGGAAAAAGATCTTCATACAGGCAATTAATTTTATCAGGTAAAGCAGGAAAACAAGGGCGCCTACTGAAATAAAGAAGAGCTCCAGGGAATCCATTGCAGTTTCGTAAAGCTCTTGCGTTTGAGATCTTCGCTGCTGGGTT